GAGAATTCCAGACTTCAAGGAGCAACGAAATTAAAGCTCGAACAAAGGAGAAACAGTGGACAGTGGCAATCTCCGACATACCCGACTGGCCAAGAATCGAAGCCGTTGCTGAGTTCAGACTACGTATCGGACACGATTGCTTGGCAAAACACCTTCACAGATTGGGATTATACACTCAATCCACATGTCCTCTATGTAACCTACAGGAGGAAATGGAGAAGACCCACCTGATTCGGTGTTCAGCCCTAAAGACAAGTATGGAAAGCCAAAGATACTGGGAAGCAAGAAGACAGCTAATGAATTGCTATTAATTAACTGCTATAAATGTACCCCCCCCTTCTTGGGGGAAGCTGAAGTCAAAGATTAAGGGCTAATGATAAATATCATAAAGCCTGCCATTTGAAATAAATAAATAAATAATTTTACGGTTTAACATCTAACATACCGACAGGTAATGAATCCTGGGACTGACATGAATGCGAATTGTAAATGGTTGCTGATGGGTGTGTCCGCGGCTATTAGTGATTTGTTGCAGAAGATGAAGTTCACTGTCTACTCTTTCATTATTGCAATTAGCAGAAGGGATCACGTAGACTCTGCCCTCCAACAAATCATTCGAGGTAAAGGTCATCACATTCTCCACACTTAACCCCGAAATGAACATTACTAGCTTGATCTGACAGGGAACCTAATTAGAAGAATATAGCCATCAATTAAATAAAGCAGCATTGACAAACCCGAATGCAGAAGGAAAATAATTAAATAAGAGGTTACTTACCTTCAGGACTTTAAAGAAAGTTTCCTGTGCAGTATCGACTAAGTGACGAGAAAGGATATCTCTTAGTTGGCTTGGATTCCGTGAGATTCTTACATTAAAGAATTTTGGGGGATTTGAATTAGCCGATATTGTCGACAGAGGATTTGAGTCGATTCGTATTAAGGGTTCATCTATAGTTGGGTGCATGTTAAAGTCATTCACTGATGTAAGATCGTTTATTATGAGTTTGACTTTGACATCCACTCGATCACTCCCTAATGAGCTTTGAGATCCAGGTAACGTTACTTCCATGGTTAGGGCATCAAAATTTTCCACACTCAAAGAGTGATTCACTGAAGTTGCCGCTTGTATTTCATCCATATCAGAGAGGCCGAACTTAAAATACCATAAAAATAAATTAAACGTTTGAAAACAAAATATAACTTATCAATCAATTTCTCGATTAAAATATTTCATTAGTACTTAATTTATTCTAGAATTACAAATGAATAAACATTTTTGTACTTATTGTAGTATTTAAGACTGCAAATTAAATTCATAAAATATTCTTTTGAGTTCATGTGGTATCAAGTTAATGAAAAATTTTCTAATTTTTTTGTTTCATTTGTTTATTACTATGTTTACCTCTACTATATTTTTTAAATAGTGTAAAATTTTAATTTAATTGGTCCTTCATCAAAAAGCCAGCATTTTATTGGCTTGCCATTAGACGAGGTGAATGCGAAATAGCGAATGTCTTTGAAGAGTTACCGTTCGATCGTGCAACGGTTTACACTGCCAGTAGACAACGCGGTACCGGAGGACAGCTGAGTAGTCAAATTTGTCGGTACTCTGGTTGTCTAGGAGGATACAACCCGACGTCGGTTTTCCTACAGCCCTTACGACAATGTCTTCTGGGTTTACATCTGAACTGTGGACCATCTAAAATTATATCAAATAGAAATATTCAAAATCGATGTGCTTTAAGCCCATTCAACTAATAAAGCAGGCATGCAATTATACATGAGCCATACCACACAAAAGAAGGTTCTATTTCTTGGAAAATTACTTTTATTATTCGAAAAAATATCTTAATTTGTAGTGAAATGGGTTTTCGGGCTCAATACTAATTGAAAGGCTATCTGCACTACAAAAGCATTTGTCACACTTCAAGTTTGGTTGCCAATTTCAATTACTTCTCAGTTGAATTTGATTGCATAAATCTGAATTTAACAATTAAAAATAAATCGAACTGAAATATGCTATAAAATTTTATTGTTTTGTATGTAATCTTTGACTAATAAAATAACACGCTAGGCTTAAATATTAACAGTCATAAATAATTCAAGGCACGTAATAAATTTAATTTAATTTTTTGTAATATTGGCAAAGGTGAATAGGTTTATTATGAATGAAATTAAATGTACTAATTTACGTTTACCAAGTAGCTCTTCTTAATTCTTGTCTGTTTAATTTCGTTCTTTGTCCAATCAACCCTTTGACAAGCCTGTAATAAAATTTGACTAACTTGGAAGCTATTAAAGAGTATAAAACTACCAATCACTGATATTTAATATCCTCACGCGCAAATGTCATTTGTCAGATTTGATTGGCATAGGGGAGTGAATATGCCAAATGAATAAATTTCAGATTTTTTAAATAGTTCTATCCAAAAAGCATCAATATTTGAGGCATTTCATAAAGTTAACTTAAACTTCTAACACGAATCGAATTATATTTATTTAGTTTTGGCAATGGAAACGACATCATGATTTCCACAGTTCTTCTTCTATTTTACCAGTGTTGGAAGGGTGAATATCTACGATCCACAAAGTGTCCTATCAGATTTTGCTAACTTCCTTTTCAAAGTTCGATGTTTCCTGTTAATTTAAAAAACAATACACCAGGTTTTATTTGTTCGAGCACATTTAATGATTATTCCAAACCAAAAAGGCCTAAAGGGTTGAACAGTTTATGTTTTCATACCTCCAGGTCGCGTGAAAATGCCAAAACCCTTCCTCTATCCCACTGTCCTATTTTTGTGCTCTATGTGTTCTTTAAATAAATTGGTTTTTCATTATTTCACAAATTAATTTTCATTTAGTTTGTGCTAACTTATGGTCGTGTAAAACCAATAATTGAATTGACACCACCACCTAGTATATCTAAACTTGATCTCCTCAGCTGTATGCTATTTCTTCTTTAAAACGATTGTCACCTGTTTTTTAAAACACAAAATTTTATCAAAGCCGAAACTTGCAGATTCTCCCTTAACACTAAGAATCGTATTTGCAGTACTTTCATGATTGCTATTAAGACCGCGTTGCATTAAAGACAAATACTACAACTTGAATTACGCTAGAGTATGTTTTGTAAGGCCGAAATTTTCAAATTTCACTTAATGAAAAAAATAATGAATTCATATACTCCTTCTTGCTACATATTAACAATATTTGGTCATAAATAAAACCAGTATTATTTATTATAATTAAAAACCACTTATAAATTGTTTTAATTTAAATAAATCTACTTAAAAGAGGTTAGGTTTTTTAACGGCAAAGCAAACAATTGCAATTTTTATTATTGTAAGAAATTGAAGGGGGAAAATTGCACGCGAGCCTAAGTAGACAATAGAGAGAGTGATTAAAACAAAAATTTGAGATAAACCCTCGCCACCAAAAAGCTTCTTCCAACGTATAATTCACTACTTGATACTCTAATAAATTGAATCAAAAGTTTCGAATTTGTTAATTAGAAGCATTTTAAGATAAATTCATTACAAACAACAAATTTCTTTGATTCTTGCCTTAAAAATCAAAAGTTAGGAAAGAATTTCGCAAGCTTTGCATAAATGATAATTACGGTACTTACTTTAAAGAAAATAAACGCAGTCCCATTTACAGTTGTTGAAATTTTTAGTTCCTTCTCCAAATTCACAATCATTCTGAAGTATTGATTCTTAATTTCTCTATGAAAGCTATTAAAGCCATCAGACACATAGCAGCTTATACAAAAGGTGCTCATTTTGAATGGAATTAGGTGGAAAGTAGGCTGGGAGGCAGAAGAAATCGTTATAGTTGATAAAATCGCTCCTTTTTCTTCTTCAGTAAAGTATCCACCAGTGCATTCGTCACTAGGATCAGTGCGTGGACAGGATAAATAAAGCCGACTATGCGTTCGAACGTAATCCTTTGGTGTTCTTACAAGAAGCTTCCAATCATATATTTGGAAATGCATCTGCGGCTCAATATACTTATCGGGTTGTATTCGAATATGGAAAGTTTCCGTGAACACATTTCCAATCGGTGGTGCTCCTTTTAGCATCTGTTTTAGGATAAGTAATCTGCCCTCTATTTGGTCATCAAGTACATCATCAAATAGACCTCGTGTGTCATGACATAATATCTTGAAATTGAACTTGTCATTCAAATGGTAAGATCCATCGTGAATGTATGCCAGCATTCCCCTAGACAGGAACCTCATGGGGATATATTTGGTATTAATTGAGCACGTCTCATCCGGTTTGAGAATCTGTAGTTTTCCACTCTTAGGATATGATACAATTTCAATTATATACTCATATGTAATCGAAGACTTGAAATTCACATTCGGAATTTTCATACAAATACTCTTTTTGACTTCGATTAAGGGAGGCTGAATTATTAGAACACCGCCCTTCTGAGTAACTCCAATTTGCTTGCGAAATTTCAATGGATGATTCGGCATCGGAAGGCTGAAAGATGACTCCGCAGTGCTTTCAAGAATGTTTATGGAGAAAATGTGTTCAGTACTTGGTCGATAAGAATGAACGTGAATTCTGAATCGGAATTCATCCTTAATGTAAAGTAGTCCATTGTTTGCTCCCGAAGATGCACTTGACCAATTATCTATAACACGTCGAAATTTGTAGAACAGTTCTCCTTCATTCACATCTGACTGCCGAAAAATGGATCCAACACCAAGGTAGATTTTATCATTGTTGCTTTTATGCAGGTAAATATGTCCGTGTTTAGGCATTTCCGTTATGTTAAAGCACACATTCATGCGGGAATCCATGGGAATCGACTGTGCTTCAAGATTCCATCGCGTTATGCAATTTTCATGCGGCATTGCAGCGTTTGCTATTTTTGACATTTGGAATATTGTCAGTAACTCATTACGGATCAATTGCAATTCAATTCTGCTGAAATTTACAGGAATTTCAATGATAGCCTGCTCCTTGCTGTTTGCAGAATGGGTGACCTGAATAAGAATATTGTCACTTAGTTTTGTTTGATAGCTTTCCGGTTGCATAATATTTGCAACATAACGGATCTTCTTTTCAAGGACATCTTTGCCGGTGAATTCTTCCACTCTTGACCAGCTTTCTTGGCCATCCTTTCTAGTACTCGTGTATTGTATTATTCCAATATTTATATCAACTATTCTAAAGAGGTAGGAGGTAATGTGCAGAGGGTTTATTGTAGAATTCCTGCGGGGGAAGAGGACGTCTGACGTGAGAGGTACATATCCAATAGGGCTTGTAACTATTGCCGGCCTTGCAAGTGATTTATTCGTCTGCTTAAATATTGTAAATGACTCCTGCGGTATTTCTGCCGAACGTCTGAAATTTGAAATCGATCGTCATTTGATGCCAGAAAAGGGGGAAGGGGTAATTCCCACTAGCTGTTAAACATCTTGGTTTGCTTGAAAATTGCATCTGATAACATGGTAGGACTTACCTGTATCTTGGGGAATTTTTTGTTAAGCAAAAGAGAAAAACTCTTTTGTCTGACGTTTGAATCAGGATTTCAAATCCAACTGGCTTCAAATTGTTGACTTCATTCTTAATGAGTTAAATAGAATTCAAATTTATATTTATAAATTTATTTTTATATATAGCGTAAAAAGTGAAATGTGTGCAATAAAAAATATAGCGTCAAATGTAATCTGTATGTACTTCAAATTCATTTTTAAATTGAATACATCTATAGCAACGTCGTAATATTGTGTTTACTAGAGAACAAGATCGAATTTGTTTTCAGCGATGAATTAAATTTTAAATTTCATCGCCCTATTTAATTATACTTATTTGCTTTGTTTAAATTAGACTCCAAATCATATTTATCAGCGACATGAAAAAGTAGGAAACTGAATCCATCGTGACATTTTTAGGTTTTGCATAATCGTCATTTCAATAATAAATAACTACAGAGAAATGAATTTTGCACATGAATCTGAAGTAAATTTACAAAAATTTAATGTTACGCAGAATAAGACTTGGTATGCTCTAACTTCGTTACATAAAAGGTTCGCACACCCTTTCTCACTTCAAATTTGTTATTCCATGCAAGCTTTTTACGCTATTAACAATAAGAAAATACTTTTGTTGTGTCATCGGAAATAATTTAAAAATTTCACTTATTGAAATGTTTAAATATTCGAAAAATATCATATTTAATATCTAATAGATTATTAATTTAGAATGCTTCATGGAGTAAAGAGAAAGGAGAAAAACACTGTCATTAAGTAAAATGCTACAGTAGATTCTTATTAATATTTTTAACATCAATATATTGTTGGCATGACAAAGTATGCGCATTTTATTATTTATTATACATAAAAAATGGCAATGAACATTGTAATAATAGGTTTAGAAATTTTAAAAAAAGATATTGATCTTTTTTTTTAAATAAATTTTTTCAATACTAGTTGTTGTTAATTTTCATTGATAAGTGCATTTTTCGAAATTAGAATATAAGACGACTTACTTTGAGTATTTTTCTGCTAATAAAATCCCTCCTTTTAGGGTCAGAGTAGCAGGTATAATTTTCCAGATTTAAGTTATAATAAATCATGCACGTTTGGTCAGCTTTTACACTAAGCTTGCTCCAGTTCAGATAATCACAGTTGAAAATTGGAATAAAATTCTCACTTGTGTACAGCTTTCCCTGATATTGACAAATGTTTTGGTAGATAAGACTGGTAGTGTAAACAAGGGGCAAACTGAGGAATATGATATGAAAGAAATATAAGATTGCTCCAGCGGTGGAAATCTCCAAGGATATTGGCATTCCCTTTTATTTCTCTCTTGATAACTTTTAGAGCTCTCTTTCCATCTCGATTAAATGAGGTATTCTGGCATTTTTGTTTTGTTTCAATTAGGCGCATATCATTGGCCAAAGCCATCAACTTTACAAGCCAATGATTTTATTCATATGGACAGTGCTGGCATTGGCCCATCTGATTGGTGACTGCTTCCTGCTTATCAAAATTTTCCTACCTTTAGCTTTCTCATTCTTGATATGATTTTAAATACGCTTTTGTAATAGCGTAATTTTAGCTCTAAATAAATCGAAGTTTATGGTAAGTGTATTAGATATATAAATTAGAGTTATGTGGACCAATCAGGGACAAAATTTCTCTAATTATTAAATTATTGATGTAAAAATATCATTATATTCTCTGCTCTCGAGCATAGGATTTTGAGAGTTTTACAAGTAATTGAAGTGACAGTTTGGTTTTTTATTTATTTTGAAAGTTTAATTAAGCCTTTATTTGGGTTATAAGGCCAAGGAGCCTTTTAATTAGAATTGGCCATAGAAATAGGTACTGGACCAATAGTGGTGATAAAAATGGAAATTAAATCAATAAATATTTTTAAAACTTTATTATGGTCTTCTATAAATGCCGTTTTAGCAAACTCTATAATTAATTATGAAAAATGGTATTTTATAATAGTACAATTGCAATTAAATTACATAACTTTTTCAAAAGCACTTTCATCTCCGTAAACACCGAAAGGTTAGTGGATTCAAAATTTTTGTTCGAAATTTAGACTATGACCTCTCGAAGTATTGAAAATAATACTGCTTTGCTAACTGTCAATCAAAATTACTACCTAGTATTTGTGTGTCCGCAATATTGCAACTGCTAAAAATAGAGTAAAATTAGACAAAACTGATTTTATTCAATCAGTGAATGCCACCACAATTTATTTAAAAATTTTAGACCAAATACCAGCTTTCGTTACTGGTAGATTCATATTCATAATATCATAGTTTTAGAATAACAAATGTGTCAAATTTAATCTAACGAATACAGATTTAAGTCACGAAAATTCGAGGAGGGAGGGGGGGGGACAGAAGAGTGATACTCATATGTAAGGGACAAACCGATTTATGGACTTTTTTGCCGTATGAGTAAGCGTTGCCCAGGGTGCCCCACGTGGAGGTATGCCTATCGCGCACCCCATAAAGCACATAAATCTTCCTCAATAATGTAAACAAACTATATTTCAAATTACAATTTTATATTACCTTCATAAAATATTTCCTGGAAACGCATTTAACTTTTAGAAATAAGATATGGGTATTTAAACTTAAAGACAATTGCTTTTCTAATAAGAGGAGTTCAAATGGTGTCTCAAAACGAGATTAACATTCGAAGTGTTTTTTCTGGAATTCCTGAATACTTGAATTTTATTGCAATCATTCTCAAAGGATTTAGAGTTGGCGATTGAGCTCTTTAATTTAAAAGAAATTTCGTCATTTGGAGAAATTATTATGAATATAAATCTTCGAGGTGTTTTATAGTTCAATAGCTCTTATTTACTAGAGAAATTAGTAATTATGCGATTAATCCAATTACATTAAATATTTCCGAGAATTTTAAAATTCTTTGTATTTTTAGTCTTTACTTTTTCCAGATGTCATTAAAATTTTTATTAATATTTCCGTTAATTTTTATTGGCGAAAGTAACTAGGCTGTTACCAATAAAAATTGTAGTAATTAATTAACCAAAATATATTAATATTATATAAATACTAAAATGTAAAACTAGGGTAGTCTCGAGACAAGTTTAATGTTGCTATAATTTTAAATATTTCACTTTATTGCTGTTAAGGGTAAACAATTGCTTGTTTCAAATAATATTAACCCCGAATTTTAAAATTAACCCAATTTCTGAGCATAAAATGAAAATATAATGCGTTAAATAACATAAGATAATTAAATATTTAGCCAGCATGTCTTCGTTCTAAAATTTCACCTCCACTGCATTCGATAAATATCATTGCAGTAAAAATTGTGATCAGCAATGTTGCGTCAATAAAGTGGCTATGTTCGGTTCAGATCGAACGATTAACGCTCAAGATGTATTTAAGAGACGTGAGAAGCTAAAATCGGACCCTTGTCGCCAATAACAGCCAATATGAGCACACTGAGCTGTCATTAAGTAAAGAATATTTCAGTTTCAAATTTTTAACTACTTTAGAATTTTACCAATGGTGGAAAATGAAGAGCAAATTCAAAATAATGTGAGGAACTAACTTTATTTTGTTTCCTCTCATAAACCAACATTTTATTTTCTGCATAAAAATTGCTGCACCACCTTAATATCTGATATCTAAATTTATGAGTACATATTGTTTACAAATATTCACATACTTATGTGTGTATGTTTGATAATTATATTATTTTTTCATGTCTAATAGGTTTTGACATCTGTGTTCTGCTGGCATTTAGTGTATTACTACAATAAGGATTTCTTTAAAAATTAAATTATTTTACTGAAACTAAAGAATGTGGAAATAGATTATTAATATATATGATCACTAAAATTTGTTTAATTACGAATCATCATTCTTAAGCTTAACCTTTTGAATTTTGGGTTGTTAACGCTTAATGAGATGAGAGTATAAGATCGCTCAACTTCCTTTAAAATCTTTCAGATGGCATTTCAGATATTTCATGAATTAAGTGAAAAGTTTCATTTCTATATAATTAAAGTCTCTGTATGTGCAACTACCGCACTTCTGTTTAAGTCAACTTATAACCAACATGCTTTTTATTTTCTGAATCGTTAGGGAAGTTCCTACTTGTGTATCTGTAGTTTTAATCATGTGATGGCATAAAATGGGAGGATATTTTATCATTAAACAAAGTACAACAAAAGCGATTGAAAAAAGGACTCTAGTTCAAAGTTAATCTACTTTGATAATCAGGCCTAGCTGGGTTAGAGGTATTTGAGAATAGGAGCTCAGTAGATGAGAAGGTGGGAAATGTAGCAGAAATGAAATTAATTAACATAAAACCCCTTTAAAAGCTATAATATTCACTTTTACTAAAACCTTTATCCAAAAACCTTTAAATACCAAGTTTTTTAATTACTGAATGGAGAATTTTTTGTTTACTTGAAGCTCTTGCATTAATCTGATTTGAAGAGATGATATTTCTGATTTCCAGAGAATTAAGACATTTTTATTTTAGTTTTCATCAAATAATTTTTCAAATCACCCAAAAATGTGTATACG